TCTCTCTCTCTCTCTCTCTCTCTCTCTCTCTCTCTCTCTCTCTCTCTGATGTGTGTGTGCATGTGTGCATGTGTTTGTCTCTTATATTTGTGTTCATGTGTGTGCACATGGCTGAGGTGTGTATAAATACATGTGCATGTGTGGGTACTCACGAAGGTCAGATGACATCTGGTATCTTCTCTTAACTGCTCCCCACCTTATTCTTTGAACTGGAATCTTTCAGTGAACTTGGAACTCACAAGTTTGACTAGACTGGCTGGCTAGAAAATCCCAGAGATTCTCCTGCCCCCCATCACCCGACCCCAGCAGCAGGAATGCAGCACCTGTGCATGCCCCACTGCCAAACCTGGCTTTTAAAAGATGATTTGTGAATATGGGTATTTTGACATCATGTATGTCTGTGTATCATGTGGGAGCCTGGTGCCCATAGAGTCCACAATAGAGTGTTGGATTCCGTGGGACTGGAGTCACTGACAGTTGTGAGCTGCTGCGTGGGTGCTGGGACTCAAACCCAAGTCCTAGTGAAGAACAGCCAGTGCTCTTAAACACAGAGCCGTCTCTCCAGCCTGAGCTACTCCTTTCCCTTCATGAGTGCTGAGAATATGGACTCAGGTCTTCAGGCTTACACAGCAGCCCTTTACTGGGCCCTCTCCCAGCCTCTCACCCCTGTCCTTCCTTTGCATATCCCCTGACCTCTCCCTCTTCCCGTCCTGCACCAATCCATATCCCGTATCTCCCTTCCTTTACTGGATTTTGAAAATGTTTAGGTGTCCAACAGCTGAAGTTTAAAGATTCCTAGCTGTAAGAAACCATGCATTGAAGGGACCCACTAATAAATGATATTTGTATATACAATAGAGCATATATGTATATAATATAATGTATATATGTAATATATAATAACACAATACATCATTACATATACATATATGTTTTCAAGCACTATGTCTCCTATGTGCCCAAACCACAACACACCTAGCTAGGTCCCTACACACCTGCGATGAATTTTTCCTGACAGAAAATCCCATGCTACTGCTGTTCTGTGAGAGGAGAGGGCTGGCAATTCCTGAGCTCTGGAGTTTGCTACTTGGTACCTTAAGCACCTCACATACTTAATCCCACAGGTAGCACTGGATAAGAGGGTTGTTCATCTCCGTGCTGCATGTGTGGAAACAGGCCTCTGAAAAAAGTAGCCCCCACTCAAACTGCAAAATAACGATCCAATCAGATCTCAAAACCAGGTCCATCTACCCAGAATCCTAAGCTCAGCTCTTACTTCACACTCCTGGACAGTCTTTATGGTCAAGTGCAGGTCAAGCAGGCAAACTATTTTCCCAGAGGCCATCCTGTGCACAGGATAGGATTTCCCCAAGGCCACACCCTAGCAGCTGTCTCCGGACTAATCCCCTAGTTTCAGCTACGGAAACCCAGAAAACAAAAAGAATGTCCTTGTTGGCTCCCTGAAGACATTTTAAATAGAACATCTGTCCCTCTGTTGAAGAGAAGGTTGGAGGGGTCAACTTGCTCCCAGCAGCTGCTATGCCTTTGTCTTATGTGAAATAGCCAAGCTGGGGTTGTCAGAACCAGGAGTTGGATTGGACCCTGGCGGGGCAAGCAGAGAGCATCCCTCAAGGTAGAGTGACGTCACTCCCCCACCCCTCCCTGTCCTGTCAAATGGCCGTGCTGTGAGAATGGTGCAGAGGACCAGTGCCAGCCAGCCATGATGGAATAAAAGGAAGGGTCCTCATGTCCCCGCAGGCATGGCAACCAACCCAAGGTGCCTCAGAGCCCCCACCGGAGAGCAATCTAACAGCCTGCTCCAGGAGGCACAGTGCCTACCTAACGTCCTGAGTAAGCCTCCATCTGACTGAACTCCATCTGACCCTGGCAAAGGCACTCATGAAGGAAATGTAACATCTCCCTCCATGGCTTATGGCCTTCAGGAGGGTCTAGCCTCAGGAAATCCCCCTTTGCCAGCTCTGAGAATACGGAGAAAGGAGGCAGAGGGAAAGAGGCAGGGCCTCTCCTTTCTCAGCAAAGGTGAGCTTGTAGTGACCTCTTCCTCCTCAACTCCACAGTCCTTGGTTTCCCCAAAGCTCAACCATCAGGGCCCAGGGCCAGAGGAAGGAGGCAGGATGGGAGAGACTGCAAGTGGCTAGAGCCGACTGGAGCTGAGGAGGCTGTGAGGTTTCCTCCCTGACCTCGCCTGTGTTTCCTTCCTGCTTCCCCTTCCTCTGGCCTTCTCCCCTATGAATCACTCACGCTTTAAATGCGAACTTTACAGAGTTCTTTTACATGTGGGGTCTAACTCCACGGTCTGCTATGAGGGGAATGAATTGCTATTCCGACTTTGCGAGGCACATGCGCTGGAAGATGACAAACAACATAAGGTTTATGAAGGTGAGATAGGAAGCCAGGCTTAATGGCCCACGCCTGTCATCCCAGCCCTCAGGAGGAAGATTTAGAGTTCAAAGTCAGCATGCCTTTAATCCTGGCACTGTGCGGGATTTCAGGGAGGCAGGTGGATCTCTATAAGTTGAAAGCCAGCCTCATCTAATAGCAAGTTCCAGGCCAGCCAAAGCTCCTTAATGAGACTGTCAGAGAGGGAGGGGCAGAGAGACAGACACAGAGACAGGAAGAGAGACAGAGAAAAGAGAGCTCAAGGTCATCTTCGGCTACAGAGCAAGTCTGAGGCCAGCCTGGGCTACATGAAACGCTGTCTCAAAA